GGTGGGTTTTCAATTTTGCGTTAATGCTTCTCTTTCTCATTTAAATGTCTACCTGTACTCTATTCCATTAACTTGCACACCTCGCTTAAGCCAATTGTATTCGATTTCCATAACATTTTTGTGTTCGTGGCATTTCCGTATAGTATACTTTCTCACCTCGTGAACTTATCTAGAATTTGTTCGTAAACAACTTATTTCATATGCTCATTAACTTAAGGTTTATGTCACTGTTTCATTATGCATCAATCGAGTTATTTTCTTTTCTCTCTCTCTCTCTCAAGTGATTGGCTGTTGTTTGATATCCCCGGTGTGGCTGCGCTTGATGTACATGTTGACAAGGTGCCTACCTGTCTATTACCGACTACCTCGTCCATACTGGCTCCAGGAAACAGTTGGTCGTTCCTGGAGGGCACGGGGTGCACGGTCCTTGTGGCCGTGTTAGGCTCGAAGAGTGGTTCCATGCACTCAGTGTGGAGCGGACTACGGTCCAGCCACCGCCTTGTGTGCGCTTGATTCCCCAAATACAGCGTGCTTGTGTTTGCCTGTGAAAGTGTGTGGGCCGGCTCCGTTGATGAAACGTGGCTCCCATCCACATGCTTCCCGGTCTTATTCCTTCGGGTTTACACTGGATATGGGGTGTGTCGATGGAGCTGTGGGTGGTGCAGCGCAAGCCATCCATGGTCCCTCTGTAGGCGCAGGCGTCCTGTGGCTGGCCACAGTGACAGGCAAATCCGAAACCGGATGCCGCCAAACATGTAGCTGTGTAGTTTGTGCTTGCACTTGTACTTCTCTACTTCTGAATATTTGATATCGCCCGCAATGTGCGAGTAGGCGTCAGTCAGACTGACGATTCAATAAGCAGCATTATACACTGCCTATTACCGCACTGAAGATGCCACCTCGCATGGTGGTGAAACGTATGCGATCCCTTTACCAAGCTCGGAAAAACGATCAACAGGTGAGCAACCAAGCCGGGCTACCAGTTTTCCAAATTATTTTGAATACTTATCTTGCATGTAACAACGTGAAACACATCTTTGGTCGTTGGTTCCAGCCTCAAGCTCAAAAGCAGCGAAGATTGGCTTCACAGGTGCGCACCTGTTGCACGGCAGAAAAACCCAACTTGTTTGCTCGGAAGATTTGAACCGACTATCAGCTTTCAGTAAGCAGTGCTTTGGAAGAACTACTTTGCAAATAACCCGGAGGTTATAAGCAGAGTACTAGGAACTAATAGTTTCTACCTACAGGTCATTATTTTGCAATACAGTTAATGTTAGTTCGGCCATGTACTGCGCAAGCTAGCCCAGCACCTTCGCCGTCGCGCATTGTTTGTGCTTCATCGAATTGATTGAAAAATGTCGAGATGGACTATTGACGAGGAGAAAAACGAACGTGGAGTAGACCGGTGACCGAAAGGGTTACACGTCTGCTTGGTAGTACGGAGGTCACCGGTTCGAATCCGCGTAAATGCGGGCAGCTGGTGGTGGTTGCGTATCAGCGAAACGACAACAGTATGCCAGCGCACTGCTGATCTTCAGGAATGCTTAGATCTATTCGTATACCAGACGTGACAAGAACCCCCAGTGGTCAAAAAGCTTGGGAGTAACGGCTGGCGACAGATGCCAGTTACACCGATTCCTCCTTGCGGTTTCTGTGTAATACTCAATGTTATCAAAAAAACAGACAGGAAACTTAAAACTACCTAAGAGCCAAAAAGAAGTTTCTCTGTGTTACCGTTGTCACTTCTACATCAAATAAAAATTTCACTCATTTTTACCAGTTTTGACGATACATTTATCTGTGCTCAGACGAGCCCCTTGCATTCGCGTTGGTTATTGGCGTCTACATCGCCTTGCAGACTTTGCGTTTTGCTGCAGCCGTTGAAGTTCTGAAATGCCTTCTAACACCATGGGACTTATTCAGAACACAGGTTCGTATCCTTCAAAACGAATTCCGATCTACAACATAGTCAGCATGCATCTGAAAAATGCTGAATAGTAGTTTCGCTCCTTAGACAACAGTAAGCAACGCGCATTTACCTAGAACCAAGTAGGAAAAAGAACGCATGAATATACTCTTGCATTAGATATCGCCGCTGATAGCTGTCATGCGTGTTTCACACATACAGAGATGGTTGGTCTTTAGAGGCACAAATCAACCGCGGAGCAGCTAAGTGCCTAGATGCAATTATTTAGTGGTGTCAGCTGTTCAGTGTAACGAATTGGTAGGGGCTGGGGAAGTTTAATGAGAATAATGAATACCAAGCATCTAGTTGTTAATCTTCAATCCCGATTAGTTTCGCACACTTCATCTATGATTTCACTTTTTTGTATTCTAGTTGGGTGTAACCACATTTTTAGTTATTATTTATTGTGACTTTGGTGACGAGTTATGGTAATTGGATCCAACGCACTTCGGTGCCCGGATCATATAGGTTCAACTGAACTGAGCAGAATGATGACTAAACCCAGCTAAGGTACCTAGTATATATGCAGAAGGGTACTGTACGCACGTTGCAGTCGTTAAGGATACAGTATTAGAGCGAACCAGTGTCGAGCCTGTGCGAACGAGTACAGCAATCTTAGTATCGCACCTGCCCAATAAAAAGAGACTGATCCAATGTGGTTGTCGCTTAACGTCTAAGCGCATAAACGGCGCGTTGTTGTGACATCGATAAGTAAGCACAGAGATGGTGGACGGATTGAGTTGTCTGAACGGTCGATGAAGAAATTACAATATTTGGCGGATCAGCCCCGAGTTTAGCTACACACTGTCGGTGTTTTTTATATAGCGTCACAAGGCATTTAACGGGCGATGAATCTTGAACGGAAAGCAGTTCCACACATTAAGCGATCACCATCGCAGATCGCTTGATTCATCAGTGGGTTAATTGTGCAGAGAAATTCGAATGGATAAGTTAGATTCTATTCAAATCACCGTCTAATTGGCCAACTGAGGAGTTATTTTGCCTCATGATGCAATAATTCAGATGAGGAGCTAAATGAGATAGTAGAGGCAGATGACACACGGATAGGTCCCAGATGCCCTGCATGGAGATTATCGCAGCAAATGAGACTAGTTAATGAGTTGAAGGATTTTGGTATTTTTGTTCATCGCAATCAGCCGACAATTCAGATATGTCGACAAGCTGTCCGGAAAAGCACCAGACGGCCGTTTCGCTCTATTGGGGCTCATCAGTGGTGCGCATCCTTCGGTCCTCTGCGGAGGATCGAACCCATGACTGCTAGTGGCTATTGCCAACTAGCCCACAGCTTATGCAAATGCGCCATGGAGGACGGTATTGTTGATGTTAGCAGAGCGTATGGGTTCGATCCTCCGCAGAGGACCGAAGGATGCGCACCACTGATGAGCCAAAATAGGGCGAAACGGCCGTCTGGTGCTTTTCCGATCCATACTGTTGTCGGCTGATTGCGATGAACAAAAATACTCACCAAAATCCTTCCATTCATAAGTAATACCAATTCGCCCGTACGGATTCCACAAAATGCTATGTCGATTCATAGCTGCCGTAACCGGGAAGTCCTGACGCCGGAATGCCGACCGCTGTCATCTGCATGGCAGTGGAGGATGCGTCGGACTATATCACATTTAGCTAACAATTCACGATAGTCAGATACCGTCCTCCATGGCGCAGTTGCATAAGCTGCGGGCTAGTTGGCAATAGCCACTAGCAGTCACGGGTTCGATCCTCCGCAGAGGACCGAAGGATGCGCACTACTGATGAGCCCCAATAGAGCGAAACGGCCGTCTGGTGCTTTTCCGGACAGCTGGTCGACATATCTGAATTGTCGGCTGATTGCGATGAACAAAAATACTCACCAAAATCCTTCCATTCATAAGTAATACCAATTCGCCCGTACGGATTCCACAAAATGCTATGTCGATTCATAGCTGCCGTAACCGGGAAGTCCTGACGCCGGAAGGCCGACCGCTGTCATCTGCATGGCAGGTGCCGGCATGGCAGTGGAGGATGCGTCGGGCTATATCGCATTTAGCTAACAATTCACGATAGTCAGATACCGTCCTCCATGGCGCAGTTGCATAAGCTGCGGGCTAGTTGGCAATAGCCACTAGCAGTCATGGGTTCGATCCTCCGCAGAGGACCGAAGGATGCGCACTACTGATGAGCCCCAATAGAGCGAAACGGCCGTCTGGTGCTTTTCCGGACAGCTGGTCGACATATCTGAATTGTCGGCTGATTGCGATGAACAAAAATACTCACCAAAATCCTTCCATTCATAAGTAATACCAATTCGCCCGTACGGATTCCACAAAATGCTATGTCGATTCATAGCTGCCGTAACCGGGAAGTCCTGACGCCGGAAGGCCGACCGCTGTCATCTGCATGGCAGGTGCCGGCATGGCAGTGGAGGATGCGTCGGGCTTATCGCATTTAGCTAACAATTCACGATAGTCAGATACCGTCCTCCATGGCGCAGTTGCATAAGCTGCGGGCTAGTTGGCAATAGCCACTAGCAGTCATGGGTTCGATCCTCCGCAGAGGACCGAAGGATGCGCACTACTGATGAGCCCCAATAGAGCGAAACGGCCGTCTGGTGCTTTTCCGGACAGCTGGTCGACATATCTGAATTGTCGGCTGATTGCGATGAACAAAAATAGTTAATGAGTTGTTTAAACAAAGCGAAAAACGGCAGCTGATCGAAATCATACAAAAATCCTGTAAAAAGGCGGTGGTAGTAAAAAAAGCTATAAAAAGAAAACAAGTGAATGCGCCCACTGGAAGCCAAAGGAGAGAATGCCCCTCACGGTTGAATGAGTTAAACAATAAAAAGAACAATGAAGTCATCTGATGTACTCGGATCGGATAATATTTAATTAATTGCTGAGTCCGTCAGAGCACTTCGTGAAAGAAAACGTCCACGGAAACGCCGAGATAAACCAGCATCAGCCAATAAGAGATCAGAAAATAAAGAATCTCCAAACACGGATAAAACACAGTGTACAACGGGAACGTAAAGTCAATCTCGCAACTTCGCTAACTGCGCATGTAAAGAGGCTAGATCTTCCGTTTCATTAACTGATGAAGAACTTGGCGGAACTGGTACGTCATTCAGTCGAGTCTTTGTGTCTATGTGAAGCTCGTCTAGGACCTTCTGAACTACGTCGTCGGCTTCATCTTCGAAGCCCACATCGTCCATAGCTTCATTCAACATCTCCTCCCTCATATCAGCTTCCATCTGCGCTTTGTTGAATTGCTGCAGGGTGTTCGAAAGATCGGAAACTGGCGTATTCTGTATAAGACGGGATAAGAAGAGAGTGGAATAAAAGAACGGGGGTAAGCAACTATCAAGCTCCCCAGTAGCAAAATAAGCATGATTCTGATACTAATACAAACAATAAAATAGAAACACTACCAAAGTAAGGAAAACGAAGATAGAAGCAAATATAAAAAGCAGTTGAGATAGGTGGTAACGTTTACAAGTCCCAAATGAGTTGGTATGCAAGCCTTCTCCATCTATTTCAACAAACCGTGGCTACTCAGTATTTTATCGTCAGATAATCCGTCTGATTGGAGGAAAATTTTTGAATTAAAAAAACAAGCCTGAAATCAGCGGCAACAATAGTCAATAAGGTCGAAATAACATGTGGACATTTGCAATTTTATGTAAGAAAATAAAAAACGCAGCAACCCGGACAAGTCATGGCTCCATCTGCATACAGGTCGTCTGTTCCCCAATTCCTCCTCGGCACCAACTACGGAAGCGGGATTTCGGACTGGTGTCTCACTAGTGCATAACTGAAACAATCCATCCAACGAGGAAAGTGGGAGAGGTGGACCAGATGTAGAAATTAAATGCACTAGGCGTTTACACAGTAGGACCAGAAACAACTAGCCATTGTGCGGGGATAAGGCAGAATCGTGAATCAGTCTGCTTGAAGCTACAGCGCCCCACAGACAACGCAAAATCACATGGACATACAACGGGCAGTTCAAATGGGATGGGACTTTAAACGCGCCACTGGTGTCAGTAATAAACCGTGTCCCGTACAGTCGCGTGGAACCCAAGGTGGAATATGTGACGGCCTATCACAAACAGTAGCACATCAGGTTTTTAAACCGATGGGTCGCCGTTACACAACCATAACGACCTAAGGAACGAAAAATAATAAGAGGGGAGAAGGGGACCTAGCGTAAAACATTAATGCTCTAAAGAAATGTTCGGTAACAAGGTGCCTACAGCTTGTCAAAAACATACAGTTACAAAAGGTTGGTCATCGTGCAAATATAATGTGAGATCGGTGAGACAATTTCCCTGCGACTTTCACTACCACGCGTTCGAATCAGAAATAACCCCGCAGATAACTCGGCACCAAACGTACTTAAAACAGGCAGTCCTATAGCAGAATCGATGGACGGAAGCTATATTCGCACAAATAACCGATCGATGAAAAGTGAAAAGATAAGTAAAAATTGGGCGACCTATACGTTTACTGCTGAAACGCACAGGCTCGCTAGGCTAAAAAGGACACCCAACGAAAGCTAGCTAGGGAAAGGAAAGAAAGAATGTTCAGTAGCGTAGAATGTTGACACCAGCGGTTGTTCCTGAAGTGTGTATATATACAAAAGTGGCCAGCAAGCGCCAGACACTGCTTAATTTCCCTGGGTACAGAGGAAAGTATAATTTGGTAATATTTCACACATCATACAGGGAAACCTCCAGGTCGCTACACAGCCCTTCTCCTAGAAGGGAACCGTGGGTCACACTTCGATCTACGTGAGAACGTCCGTCGCGGGACAGCCTTCTGCGAGACCTGGTAATAAAACCTGATGTAGCTGCTGGGGGGGGGGGACAAGGCGATCGGACCCTAGCTGGTTGCCACCGGCGTCCTCCCTACCAGTGCCAAAAAAGGAAAAGAACGTAGTGTTGGATCACACAACGTTTGGCCACGTGATGTCCGGCGATGTTCGAGTTCGAGGATAGGGAATATGAAAAGTAAAAGAGGGACGTCAGGCACGCGCAAATGACCAGAGTAAAAGAAAAACGACAACACTTATCAAGTGCGATAAGGGAACAAAATGTGGACTCTATTTGTGTTTTCAAAGCAGTTTGCAAATGTTTTGCGTTTCGGTCTGGCCAAAAGATCAAAGTGCGGAAAAAGAACGTCAAGCTTTTAGGTGCACCGGCCAATGAACTCGTCTGCCGGACATAGTCGACTTTTGCGGTCCGGCTGTGGAGGTGGTCGAGTCAGCTGTGTAGTTTCACGAGGTCTGTGGAACGGCAGTTAGTGTGCAGTCCGGTGTGGTTGCAAGGAGCAGGACTGCTGACCTATGATCGTCTTCGAGGTTGTCGACGGATTCAAAATGAGCGACTTTGAGCCGATTGATGGTAACGGCTTCGTGTAGGCCGTAGCGTTCAATAATGAAAACTCGGTCCATGAGCATAGGCGTTCTACAGGTCTGCGAATGCCATCGAAGCGGTTGAAAACGTGCGAGCAGCCGTGTAAGTTTTCGGGTAAGAAAAATTTACGCTTGGACTCCCTTGGTTCGTATGGTCGAAGTAAGCGTAGCTTAGCCGCAAGTTCGGCACAGGAGGCATTGTAGCGATAAGATCTTGGAGTGCAGGAGAAGAAATCATCAGGTAGCCGTAAAGTTTGTTCATAGACGAATTAGCCACTAGACGTTCGAAGGTTGGTTTAGATCACTGAGTAAATGCCAGGCAGTACAGGTGGTAAGACATCAGTCCAGTTGAGTTCATCAACTGCGCTAAGGGACGTCTTGAGCTACCTATGCAAACGATCGACCATACCATTCGAAGTATGATGGTAGGCGGTAAAGCGAATGCGACGAGCGCTTAGCACTTTGAGCGACTCTAAGAACGTGCTAGATTCAAACTGTGGGTTTCTATCGATAGTCATAGATACAGTGCAATCGTGAGCAGAGACCGAACGGTTGACGAAAGCTCGCGTGACTGTTTCGGTTGCGACGTCTGGAATCGGAAGGGCTTCAGGCTAACGTGTGCAGCGACCTATCATGGTCAGGATGTATACCATACCCTTAGACGGTGCTAACAGTCCAACTATGTCGAAATGGACATATGCAAAACGATCGGAAATGGGAGAAAAACGGACAATTGGAGCGGACACGTCGCAGAATCTTGGCCTTCCGACAAGTTAGGCAACTGCATTCCCATATGCTAATGCCGCGCTGCATACCATGCCAGACATGCCGCTCTGAAAGGAGCAATGGTAGTCTTGACACCTGGATGAACGAGGTTGTGTCGAAGACATTGTGATGAAAAGAATCGGGAACGATTGGACGAAGACGTCCAGTGGATGAGTCGCAAAGGACAGTGCCATCGGATGACGGCAGCGGGTACGGTGAGACTATTAAAGACGGATCTGACACGGCGGATTGACAATCGGTGTCTGTTTGTTGTGCCGCGGCCATGGCAGTTAGGTCGATTGTCTGTCAAGCGATGCTAATTGCAGAGACGCGAGAAAGTGTTAGCAAAAAAGTTATTCTGATCTGAGAGTTGTCGTAGGTCAGTAGAAAATTAGGCCACATAGTCCAACTGACGGACCTCACTTGGTGAGTGTCGAGCTGATTGATTTCGGAAGGTGTAAATAAGCGGTTTATGGTCGGTGAAGATAAGGAGAGAGTTAAATTTAAGGGTAAGCCTGCAATGTCGGATGGTAGAGCAGACAGCAAGCAATTCGCGACTGAACGTGCTGTACTTGATTTCCGTAGATTGTAAGCGTCTGAAGTAGAAAGCAAGAGGTTTGCAATATTCAACTGAAATTGTTGTACAACAGCCTCAATGGCAGTGTCCAATGCGTCAAAGGCAACACTGAGTTGGGCGTTCGGATCAAAGTGGTGAAATATAACGGCGTCGGCCAAGGCCTTTGTTCTGGCAGCAGAATCGTTCAGTTCAACGTTGCTGCTTTTACTTCCATGAAACAGATCGGTAAGTGGATTTAACAGGTCGGCGCAGTGTGGAAGAAAACACCGGTGGTAGTTAATCATACCGTTAAAACGGCGAATAGCGGTCAAAGTAGTCGAAACTGGAAAGCCTCTGATGGCGCGTATTCTATTGTCTAAAGGCCTTATGCCATATTGATCGATATGATGGCCAAGAAATTCGACGGAAAGCTTCTGAAATACGCATTTGTCGGTGTAGTTCTTCAGAAGCGCATGTCACTAGGATATCGTCGATGTAGGGATAGAAGAAATCTAGACCTCTAGTGACTGAATCTATGAACCGTTGGAAAGTTCGGGCTGCGTTGCGTAGACCAAAGGATATACGTAACAATTCAAAGAGTCCAAATGATGTGATAACGGCGGTTTTCGGAATGTCTTCCTCAGCAACTAGTATCTAGTGATAAGCGCGGACCACATCGAATTTCTAGAACACACTGGTGCCACGTAGGCTAACCGCGATGTCCTGGATGTGAGGAATAGGATAGCGGTCGGGAAAAATTATGCTATTAAGCGCGCGGTAATCGGCACATGGACGCCAGTCTCTTGACATCTTGGGCACCGCGTGAGGCGGCGACGCCCACGCGCTTTCAGAGGGGCGAACGATGCCCAGTTCAAGCATGTGCTCGAAGTCTGCGCGAGCAACTTTTAGCTTCTCATCGGCCATTCACCTGGCTTTGGCGAAAACAGGCGGACCTTCGGTAATGATGTGATGCTTTGCAGCATCCGCGGCGGATGGCAACGGTGCTGTTGCACGGAAGACTTGCGGAAGCTTGCTATTAAGCACCTGACCGACAGGTGAGCTCGATTGGTTGGCATATACAGGTCTGATTGACTCAATGTCAATCAAAGTGCGTATAACTGCCAGGTTCGTATGACGATCGATCAGACTGTGGTGCTCCGTATCTACAAGCAAGTTGAAGTATTGCAAGAAGTCAAGGCCAAGAATTGTCGTCTGGACATCTGCGACGAAAAAGACCCATTTATATGAACGTTGTAGGCCAAAATTAAGCGTGCGTGAGCGTTGACCATACACTTGTATGATGGTACCGTTGGCTGCGCGCAATAAACTAGTCGCCTTCTCATTCGGATCCAGTTTATCGCGAAGTAGGACGCTAACTTCGGCACCAGTGGCCACCAAGTAGCGAAATCCTATTTCTCGATCAGTGAAGAAGAAAAGACGACGGTGGCAGATAGCAACCGTCGTCCCTACGTGCTGGTCGGCCAGTTTCCTTGTGACTTGCGCGAGAAGGAACATGGTGGGAAACAGCACTTGGCATTCTCACCAAATCGTCTGTGGTACCAGCAATGGTT